AATTCATAAAACAGCAATAAAAGACAAACAACCAAATTTAACAATGAGAAAAAAGGATTGAATAGACATTTCTCTAACGGGTACATATGAAGGGCCAACAAGCTCCTGCAAATATGTTCAATTTTTTCATCATTAGAAAATATAAATTTAAACCAAAATGGGATACCACTTCACACCCACTAGTGTTACTTAAAAAAAAAAAGACAACATATGTTTGAAAAGTTATGGAGAAAATGGCATTCTCATACATTACTAGTGGAAATGTAAAATGGTATAGCCACTGAGGTTGGAAAACAGTCTGTCAGTTCCTCAAATAGTTAAACATAAAGTGACTTATAATGCAGCAATTGCACTCATAGTTATACAACCAAAAAAATTACAAACATGTTCACTCAAAAACATGTACAAAAACATTTATAGCAGCATTATTCATAATAGTTAAAAAGTGGAAACATCCCAACTGACCATTAGTTGATGGATAAACAAAATGTGGTATCACTATATAACGGAATATTATTTAGCCATAAAAAGGATTGAAGTACTGATGTAAGCTATAACAAGAATGAACCTTAAGAATATTGTGCTAAGTAAAAGATGCATGTGCAAAAGGCCATGTTGTATTATTCCATATACAGGAAATGTCCATAACAAGTATATCCATAGGGAGATAAAGTAGATTAGTGGTTGTCAGGGACTGCAAAAAGGGGAGAATTTGAGAGTGACTGGCAGGAAGTACAGGCATGCTTTTTGGCATTATGAAAATATTCTAAAATTAGATGGTGGTGATGGTTGCAAAACCTTTGGAATATAGTAAAAGACATTGAATGGTATGCTTAAAAATGGTGAATTTTGTGATTTATGAATTATACTTTAGAAATAATAACAACAATAATAAAGCAAGGTGTCTTTCCACATCTCCATGCTCTGTATTTTAATGAAAAAAAAAAAAATCACCTCAGGGCCAGGCTCAGTGGCTTACTCTTGTAATCCCAGCCCTTTTGGAGGCCTAGGTGAGAGGATCGCTTGAGGCCAGGAGTTCTAGACCACCCTGAGCAACATAGCAAGATTTCATCTCTATAAAAAATTTTTAAAAATTAGCCAGGAATGGTGATGTGTGCCTACAGTTCAGCTCCTTGGAAAGCTGAGGCAAGATGATCACTTGACCCTAGGAGTTTGAGGTTGCAGTTGGCTATCATCAGCACTGCACTCCAGTCTGGGGGACAGAACGAGAGCCTATCTCAAAAAAAAGCATCTTGCATTCATAGTAAGTGACCAGAATATGATGCTGACAGCATGCTGTGATGAAATGTATCGGATGAAACAAATTAAATTCAAAAAGATGTTGTTGTTGTTGTTGTTGTTGTTGTTTGTAGAAATAAGGGAAGAGAAACATCTACTTGGAAAGAACTGACACAACTAAATTGGAAAATGTGGGAAGGGGATGGGGAAGAGGGTGCTCTACTTGAGATCTGACTCCAGGGCTTACAGCAAGGGGAACTTGGGCAAGTTACAGACTCTCTGTGCCTTGGTTTTTTCATCAGCAAAACAGAAAGAATCATCCCATAAACTGTAAGGTTGATGGTATCAGTGGGTCCCCAAACTGACTGCACATCTGAGTCATGTTGAACACATTCCAGGCTCCACCTGAGCCCACAGAATCAAAATTCGTGCCAGAAGGACAATGAACTTGTATTTGCACTGACTTTCCCAGGTGTTTCTTACGCTGGTCAACTTGGGGGTAGGACCCATTGAGCTGCATCACATCATTCCAAAGCCAAAAACACAACAGCAGAACAAGAATATTTTCAATGCAGTCCCTAAAGCAGAGGAGAAACTGTTGGGGGAACCTAGAAGTAAAGGAGACCTGGCTTGCTGGGCTCCATTTAAACTTTATCCTGAGTAAAGCAGAGACAGAAGCCCTTCGGGACACATGCCTGAGGCAGTGACAGTCCAACTTTGGAAGAGTGGAAGCCCTAGTTTCAAATTCAAGCATGCTTTGAGTAGAAATTAAGTTTACCTCTTTTTGCACAGCAACATGGCCCATCTTTCCTAAGCTGCTCAGCTTATAAGAAAAGGAATCATACTGCTAAGAAATCACACTTCAGCAGACATGGGAAAGTAAGGAGGTCTTATAAATCTATTCTAGCTGTCTAACATGAGATCAGAAATTTAGCAGTTTCTTTCATGTTCAGGAGAGTTGTCCAGAGGCATTCCTAAAAATGGAAAGCATTCCTTCCTGTCCTAAGACATCACTGCTAACTTCAGGGAAGTAAGAACACAGCTGTCCACTCTACAGTATGAGTTGCTTTTGCACCTAAAATGTGTCCAACATCCTGAGACCTGTACCCATTTCAGGGAGCCTTGAGAGGAGCCCAAATCACTGAGTGAATTGGACAGTGCGTGGAGATGGTTCAGCACTGCACGGGTAAGTGCAGGAGCAAGGCCGGGTCATTCTGAGAGACAATGGGTGGCGCCGATGGGTAAACAAAGATAAAATCAGAAGTTTGTGCTTCATCTTCAAAAACTCAAACCAATAAGTTATTTGTTCTTTAAAAGTAATAACAGTTATTTTTCTTTTTACATGAGAATTTAATCTCAAAACAGAAATCAGAAAAATATGAAGTCCAGTGCATAAAACCTAAACAATAGCTTATATGTATTCTTTCTAAATAGAACCAATAGTAAAATCCTCTTCATAAAACATATATTGTGGTTATAAAAAGGCAGAAATCTTAGTGAGACTCATAGGTATTCAATAGAAGAGTAAATTAAACACAGTCAAGGGAAGACCCAAGTCTCACGCTTCGGACACTTCTGAATTTTGGTCCCAATACTCTAGGAGGTCACACCTCTGTCCTGGAAAATGACACAGGAATGAATATTCTTCCCTTGACTCATTCTGTTCATTCTTTCAGAATCACAGAAACAAAAAAAAATGGAAATACGGTCAAATAAATAATTTGTTTTCCCTCTTCTTCAGGTCTCTTATCCGTTTTTTACGAATAACAACATTACCTTAAGGATTATGATGAAAATACAATGCCCATATATGTGCACAGTTTTGAGCAAAACGTCTGGTACAAATTGGTCAATGAATAATTACTGAATAATTATATAAATATTGCTGAATTATAAGAATTCTATGAATAATTATTGAATAATTATTGTGATTGCTTTTATTGGCAGTGCTCAGAACTCATCCCTGTGTGACCTCAAGTAAGTCATGTAACTTTGTGACATGCAGTTTCACCATTTTTTTTTTTTTTTTTGAGATAGAGTTTCACTCTTGTTGCCCAGGCTGGAGTGCAGTGGTGCAATCTCAGCTCACTGCAATCACCTCCTCCCAGGTTCAAGCAATTCTCCTGCCTCATCCTCCCAAGTAGCTGGGATTACAGGCATGCACCACCATGCCTGGCTAATTATTATTATTATTATTATTTTTAGTAGATATGGGGTTTCTCCATGTTGGTCAGGCTGTTCTTGAACTCCTGACCTCAGGTGATCCACCTGCCTCGGCCTTCCAAAGTGCTGGAATTACAGACGTAAGCCATCACACCGGGCCTTCACCATTTTTAAAATAAAGAAATTTTACAAATTTTTTTTCCTGCCATATAATGTCAGGTCTCATAGATACCAGAAAATAAATTTATTTACATTGATACATTTCAAAGCAATGTCCTTACACAGCATAGTTGCAGGATGGTGGGGACTGCTGAGAGGTATGCTTTCAAATGAGATTGACCCAGTCCTCTGTCCTTCACTTCCACATGAATGCTGAGTAGCCCAGGGTCACACTCATTGCACCCTCAAATCACTCAAGTCCAGCAGCCAAACTAAAGAGACCTGGGCTATGGGACTAGCTCCCCAGTCCCAGGCTCACAAAACCTAGGTGGGGATAAAAGCTGAGAAAGTGAGGAGGTGGTTCAGGGGATCACTCTCTTCTACTCATTCCTCTCACCTCAAACTCACCTTCTACTGCACAGAAACACTGAGGACCACCAACCAACCCTAACCATGTCTTGCCCCCTTAATCTTGCCATGTTCTGTTAGTGGAATGCAACCACACTTCAATGGTGTTAGACAAACTCAGAAAATATATATATATGTCAAACGATGTTCCATAAGAACTGCTCACAACCCTGTTCTGTTCATTATATGGGAAAACTGAACTGAATGAAAACAATAAAATAGTATCAGGTTTACAAAACTTCCCAAGATAGATGGTCACACATGTTTTCAGGAGATATACGTATAAATAATCTGGATTACTTGATACCTTGAAAAGAGCTCTTGTGGGACTAGAATGACATCGATAAGTGACAAGTATAAAATGTAGTGTTCACTGACATTAGAAAACAAATCAACCCACGCATAGAAGAAAAACTTTGAAGATAATGATGTCAAACTTGTCTTAAGTGCAATGGAAAGCCAAAATTCCGATCCAGTAAGAGAACAGAAATCAACCTGACTATGAGATGCAGCAAGAAGAATACTGAGACAGGAAAGAAAACATTTTTTAAAAATGAATTATTCATTCACTTTTTAGTGGATACAGAAAAAAACTGCAGAAGACCCAGAGAATATCACGGCAGTCTAACAGTTTGATATCTTTCACTTGTGGAAAAGCCTTCAGATCTGTTTTAACTGAAAGAGAAGGTGTGGTGACTTCATGACTACCATTAAGAAAATATAACCCGTTGGGAAACTGTTTCTGACTGGTACACACAAGAAACAAACAATGAGGAATATGCTTAGATGTACTGGGAAAGAGATGGGTCTGTGGTGTTGTCACAAAAGTACACAAATCCTGAGAATGACTGCTGAACAAATGGTCCCCCTCAATGCTGACCCTCAGGTAAGACCAAGGGGCCTTGTGTTTCAGCAAAGCCTGGGCAACTGTAATGCAGGGCTCCTAAGATTCCATGACATTCCCTCCTTCTAATTCTGTTATTGCAACTGCAGGCCATTACCTGGCACACTGGCCACTATCTGCCTCACTCTTTTCAGAGTCTGAGCTACAGGCAGTGCCTTTGGCTCAAATGTCTGGCATCTCAGACCCTGTTTTTGTGGTTAAGGACTCTAAAGTGCTGTGGCGAGTGATCAAGTTTTTCTCAGCGGTAAGATAACAATTCCAGTTATTGTCATCCCTCAGTCCTGATCAAACCTATTTGATTTCACCAGTTTTCAACCCATGATGTGTTTGAGTTTCTTCTCCCTAGTCCCTGGCTCTACCTCTTCTGGCACAAATGTCAGCATGACTGTATCTGCCAGCCTTTTGTTGAGTGAAAAGGCAGAGATGAACATCCTAGAAATCAACCAAGAATTGCGCTTACAGCTGGCAGAGGGCAAACAGCAGTTCTGAAACCTCAAAGAGAAATTTCTTATACCTCAAACTACTACCTACTCCCTGGCCAACCAGCTGAAGAAGTACAGTAAGTTCTATAGGTTCACTGTATCAAAAATGATGAATGATTATCCATCTTCTCCCTGAGAGGTGAAATGCTCTCTTAATCAAAATTAATTTTATCCTTTCCATGCTTTTAGGAAAAAAGAAGAGGGTATTTTCACCTCATTTTCTTAAAGATGGAAAACAGAGGCACAAAGTATTCAGCAGCTTTTCCATGTTTGTAATTTGGCGTGGGGTGGAACTAGAGTTAAAATACCAGTTACTGGTGTCTGACATAGGAACAGAACCACCTGTTTTTTTCAGCAAGAGGCTAAATTGTGTTTGCCAGAATTCTCTCTGTACCATGTAAGATCCTGCAGACAAATAGCATCTAATCTGTGGCTTTACATATCTGGGACTAATGAATTTCCATTCAATTCAGGCTGTTGAGGCCTGATAGGCAAAGTTCCATGCTGAGAACCCTGGTGGAAACGTGGTGATAGCACACAGTACCAACTCCAAGTAGCTTAAAGAGGAGTCTGCACCTAATAGAAATTGTGGTATCCATAAGTGACAGCATCAAGAGCAAGGAGTACCCTGGTGAGAGGAAAGTCCTGCTTTCTGGGGCACAGGCTGTTATTTCTCTCTTTTTTTTTTTTTTTTTTTTTTGAGATGGCGTTTTGTTTTGGTTGCCAAGGCTGGACTGCAATGGCCCAATCTCGACTCACCACCACCTCTGCCTCCCGGGTTCAAGCAATTCTCCTGCCTCAGCCTCCAAAGCAGCTGAGATTACAGGCATGTGCTATCATACCCAGTTAATTTTTGAATTTTTAGTAGAGATGGGGTTTCTCCATGTTGGTCAAGCTGCTCTCGAACTTCTGACCTCAGGTGATCCACCCGCCTCGGCCTCCCAAAGTGCTTGGATTACAGGCGTGAGCCACGGCACCTGGCCCAGGCTCTTATTTCTAAAGAGGAAAAAAGAGAGCCCCCAAGGCTTTGTGGAGGTAGCAGTGTGTAAAGCAGGAACCTTGGGCCAGTTTCCTGGGCTCCATCCAAGTTGCTCGTCTTCTCTGTGCCTCAGTTTCCTCATCTGTTCACGGGTGTTATAATAATACCTACCTCGGTAAATTGCTGCAATGAATTACACAACCTATTGCTTGTAAACCTCCTGGAACAGTTGTTGGCACAGAGTAAACACTATTAGTTCTTCATTCTACTGTTTTTAACTTAACAGAAATTTGATTAGTATTTGGGCATGCTTCCTTCATGGCCTTATGGTCTTATGCCTCATATTTTATGCAATTATATCCAGATATGATTTTTAAAATCTTGAACATATTGGTGCTTAAAATTCCCAGTTTAAAAAAAAAAAATCAGTCCTGTGAACACAGAAAATCTGAGACAGGTCTCAGTTAATTTAGAAAGTTTATTTTGCCAAGGTTGAGGATGCACCCGGGACACAGCCTCAGGAAGACCTGACGGTGCCCAACGTTGTCACGAGACATCAATTAATGTATGTAAGAAGTACATTTGTTCAGTCTGGAAAGGCGGGACAACTTGAAGCAAAGGCAGGAAGACCCAAATTATATGATTTCTGAGCACTCTAAGTGTAAGCAGAAATTAACACCAGCTGGTTAAACGCTTATTTTAGTCGTTTAAAAGGAAATTGCAAGATACAATCCCAAACCAGTTTCTTACCTAGTGATAGTGATTGGTCTCAGGCTGTAGACTGCTCTCCACTATCCTAGAAGCAGGAAAAACAACTCATCTTCCCTGTTGGAAGAAGAGAGCTCGAACTTCATAAAGCAGTTACCTGCATTCCATTGTCATGGAAGCAGGAAAACTTGCCTTCCTGTTGACAGCAAGCGAAACTCCAGAAAAAGAAGAGTTGTACAGTAAAATAAATTTAAGATCTCGACCAAATTTGGGTAGATCAAGGATTCTCTGGAGGGGATGCTCTCAGACCTCAGCAAATTGTCCTATTGGCTTGAGCCATAAAGTTAGTTCATGCTGGTACCAAGCACTGACACATTTGTCAAAGGTCAGGGGCATCTCCACTCAGAATCCCCCAGTGGTGGTTACCGAAATGTGAACCCAACAAATCTGAAACAGGTCTCAGTTAATTTGGAAAGTTTATTTTGCCAAGGTTGAGGATACGCCAGAACAGCCTCAGGAAGACCTGACGACATGTGCCCAAGGTGGTGGGGGCATAGCTTAGTTTCATACATTGGGAGACGTGAGACATCAATCAATATATGTAAGAGGTAAAGTGGTTCTGTCTGGAAAGACAGGAAAACTTGAAGCAAAGGCTGGAAAACTCAAAGTGGAGAGGGAGCTACCAGGGAAGGGAGCTTCCCGGTCACAGATAGGTGACACACAAATGGTTACATTATTTTGAGTATGTGATTAGCCTTTCCAAAGGAGGCAAATAAGATATGTATCTATCTCAGTGAGCAGAGGAGTGACTGAATAGAATGGGAGGCAGGTTTGCCCTAAGCAGTTCCCAGCTTGAGTTTTCCTTAGTGATTTTGGGGGCCCAGGATATTTTCCTTTCGCAGTCTCACAGCCCTAGAAGCCTTCCTAGCTGTACAGAAAATCACCAATTCATTCCCCAGTGCAGGAGAGGCTGCAAGCCTTGGGAAAGCATCCCATGATTCAGAGTCAGACCTCAGGGGCCGTGAATTCTGACCCTGCCTCCTTCCAGGTGACTCATCTTGTCGAGTTGCTTGATGTGCCCCTGAGCTTCTTTTTTCCTGTATCTAAGTAGGGAGTATCAGATGCCAGAAAGTCGGGAGGCTGAAGAGTAAAGATGTGGACATCCCTGCCTACAGCCTGGAACTAGGGACAGTTTTGTCCTTGGCATGGACCTGGCTCCTGCCCTGTAGGCAGTGACCACAGCAGCATGCCCAGCCTTCCACTGAGGCAGGCATGTCTGTCTTAGAATATGAAGAGTGCAAAGACCTGATAAAATCTATGCTGAGGGATGAACTAAAGTTCAAGGAGGAGAAGCTGGCAAAGGAGCTCAGGCAAGCGGAGGAGCTCAGCTGAGGGGGCCCCGTGGGGGCAGGCAGGTGAGCAGGTGTGTGAATCTCTGTACAGTAGCTCAGCCGGGAGAAGTAAGAGCTAAGCTGGGCCAGGGGAAGGGCAGGAATTGCCACGGCAGGCACATGTCACACAAATATTTATAAAACAGAGAACAATAATAGTAAGTTATGGGTTGCCTCGTTTTCTCTTTTTCAAACAAGTAATTGTTGAGGTGAAATTTGCATAACACAAAAGTAACCAAAGGAAAGTGAACTACCCAGCAGCAGTTAGTATACTCAAAATGCTGTGCGATCACCACTGCATTTACTCTTAGTCAGAATCACCTCCTGACTGACTTGGGCTTCTCATTTGTTCAATCAATATTGCCTTCTCAACTCTGTCATTCTTTTCTTTTTTCATCTTTCCAGTTGTACCTGGCCACATTTCTGTGCACGGCTTTGTGTCCAGTCGCTGAATAATGCACTATGTGTATTTTAACATGAAAATGTCCACAACCAAGATGAGAAATCGAAGGAAAATCCTTTTGGAACTCATTTGGTTACAGAAGAAAAAGATGAATGGAATGCTGAAAAATCTTCCTGGAGCTCTCTGTCTCTATTGCAGAGGGGAAGACCTGTTTTTAATAAAAAAGATATATATTTTTTTCTTTGCTTTGCCACAGGCATTTCCCTTAACATGTACTGACTTTCTGCATGGAGTGCTCCTTTGTTGCAATATTAGAACGGATCACTCATCCCTTTCCACTATTAAATTTTCTCTACTATTCCACCTTAGGCAATGTAAAGTCTCTGTTCACTCTCAGACCTGAGAGCTGGCCCAGTTACAGGACATGTTACAGGAAGGGAGAGATGCCTTCCTCTCACTGAATCAGCATCTCAAGGTCCTCCTCACTCCTGATGATTCTGACAACTCCTAGGGGCAGGACCTCTGAGAGCAGGCTGGCAGAGCACCTTGTCCACAAGCTCAGCCCAGGTAAGGTGACCACAGGCCCTGATGACACAAAGCCCAGGCTTATGGGAGACTCTACACCTCCATACCTTCACAATGACAGTTATATTGGTGGTGTTTCTTTCCATTAAACATATATGGCCATGACATGACCAGGACTTCCTGGATAGGAACAGAGGTAAGAAGTCCATGGGGTTAGAGGTCACAGTATTGCAAATGTCTCCTCCTCCTTGACAGTCATGTCTTTGGAGCAAGAGGCCATATCCATTCAGTTTTAAAGGACAGGAAGGAGGCTATGACAGAAGGCAAGTTGTTAGAGTAAAAAGAGTCCAGGACTAAGAATGAAGGTTCCCAGGCTGTATCTTCAGCAATGTCCTTAGTAACCGTGGGTGAGTGATTGATTTATCCTTTCTGGATTTCTTTGTCTAAACCTGCAAAGAGGTCAAATTGTCTCTTCAATGGTAGATACAGCATTCAAATATGGGAACACTTATGATTACCTTTCAAAATGAGATGAAGCCCCTCACCGTGTGGTGTTGCAGAAGGCACTTGATGTGGGGGCATTTGGTGGTAGGAAGTGCTTCAGACTGGAGCATTCCCCATGGAGAGAATGTCCCTGAATAACACAGCAGAAGCCAACTTGGAGGGCTTGTGAAGTCTCCCAATGCATGAGGAAAGGTGGGATAAGGTTGTTTGTCCTCCCCTAAGAGAAAGAAATAGATTCTAAATGTGAGAGCTGTGACAGGACACCGAGCCTGTGCCTGGGCATCAGATCTGTGGCGGGATGGGAGAGACAGCTGCCAAAGTCCAGAAAGATGCCGGACAAGCCTCCAGTGATATGGGGACCAAAAGGTCTTTTCAATATTTGGCCACAGCTTGATGGTGACCCTCCAGATCAGAAATGCATTGCCTCATGGATCAGGAAACCATGCCAGGGCATTTCATTAAGGATAAAACATGAAAGCTTTCAGTCCAACACTGACCCATGCATAGATGTTCATGTCTCTGTGCACATAGGGCTCACTGTGCTTGCAGTGTGTGAAGTGAGGAGTATCTAAATGGAAACTTCTGTATTTGTTTGCAGAGAATGATGAAGGTGATAGTGAAAATGATAAAGATGAGGAGATTCATAAAGTACAAGCATCACCTGTCCCCAGGTTACACTGAACAATCAGGAGCGGGTAGTGGGTGGATAAACCATGGAAAAGGTCTTAGAATACGAGGGAGTTGAAGGTAGTCACAGATTCCAGATGCAGGATAAAGAAAGCTGCAGAGTGCACTGATTTCATGTGCTCACCCAACAAGGAAATAGGCCTGGTCCATTGTCTTCATGGGCCTTGTAAGCATGACCCTGGATGAAGTCACCAGCCCTAGGGACTTCCTGCACTCACAGAGGAGAACTGTTCTCTCCTGTAATGAAAACCAGGAGGAGATGCAAAGCTGCTTTCTACATGATTGTCTCCAGGTTCTTGTTAAGAAAGATAAATAGCAAAGAGGTGGGCCAGGCACAGTGGCTCACACCTGTAATCCCAGCATTTTGGGAGGCCAAGATGGGTGGATCACCTGAGGTCAGCAGTTTGAGACCAGCCTGGCCAACATAGCAAAATCTCATCTCTACTAAAAATACAAAAATTAGTCAGGTGTGGTGGGGGGCACCTGTAATCCCTGCTACCTGGGAGGCTGAGGTAGGAGAACCGCTTGAATGCAGGAGGCAGAGGTTGTAGTGAGCCGAGATCATGCCACTGCACACCAGCCTGGGTGACAGAGCGAGAATGTGTCTCAAAAAAATAGTAAAGGGGTAAAAAGCAGAGGAATTATTTAGGAAGTTTCTAGAAACTAAACATCAAGAGAAGTACCTAGAAAAAAATTGTACATTTCACATATTATTTTTATAAAAAGACCCAGAAGACACACCATTTCTGGAGCCTACAGTGGCTCAAGAGCCTGTATTCCCTTGGTCACAGTATTTAAATGCAACCCAGCTTTGGCACACCGTGTAGCAGCTGTTATGGTTCTCCATGTATGTATCTCTGTGTGTGTCATGTCTGCACACACAGAGATAGCTGAGCCTCCATCCTCCTCAGCTCCTATCTTCCCAGTGCAATGAACACCAGCTGCTCCCTTCCTCTTTGGCTCCCATGGCATCCACAATCTCTTGCAGAGAAAGGAGGAGTGCCTGTTCCCTCTTACAGGGAGCCACCCGTTCGCTTTTTGGGACAATTCTCTTATACCTCTGTCAAAACTGGCTAGGACTCCCTGGGTCCAATTGAGGGTCCAACCTCTCTGTGTTTAATCTTTTGTCATCTCTCTCCCTGCTGGCTCATCAGGGAGGTGCTGAAGGCTGAAGAAAAGGAAGTCCCTGAGGACTCACTGGAGGAATGTGCCGTCACTTGTTCAAATAGCCACAGCCCTTCTGACTCCAACCAGCCACATAGGAACACCAAAACCACATTTGAGGAAGACAAAGTCGACTCTGCACTGGTTATAGACAGTGAATCCTCTCATGATGAATGGGAGGATGCTGTACACATTCTCCCAGGTAGACTCTATATTCTCTGCCCCTCATACCTCTGTCTAGGCTGAGGAAGATCAACTCCGAAAAAGAGCTCTATACAAACAAATTGGTTTGAATCAGAAAATAGGATGGGGTACTAAAACAGATATCAGGTGGTTTAGGGATTTTCCTCTCCTCCTCAGCCCTGTCTCCCTGTCCCCAGTGTCATGGACCCCAGGCAATTGGGACAAACTCATAGTCACCTTTGTCCAGGAGGTATACAGGAGGTATCTATCAAGCCTTCTAGCTTGGATCCAATATCTCTCATCATCTGTCATTATGTCATCTGTCCCTGAACAAAGTCCGTGGAGTTTTTATGCCTTTTTAAGGAAACTGGCAGCCTTGCCTTTGTATTTGGAGATATTGTTCCCCCAGTTTTACTGCTCTCAGCTTCAGTCTTGATCTCCTTTAAGTCAGCTTGCTTAGCTGCACAGTCACCTTGAAACCAGGATGGAAACATTTATTCTTTACCTTGCTGATATGTCTCCATAGAGCAAGGCTGGGCCCTGAGTTCTCCACCCCATCAATGGCCAATGTTTCTTTGTACCATCACAGATTTTTTTTTTTTTTTTTTTTGAGACAGAGTCTCACTCTGTCACCCAGGCTGGAGTGCAGTGGCACAGTCTTGGCTCACTGCAACCTCTGCCTCCTGGGTTCAAGCAATTTTCCTGCCTCAGCCTCCTGAGTAGCTGGGACCAGAGGTGCACACTACCATGCCTGGCTAATTTTTATATTTTTAGTAGAGACAAGGTTTCACCATGTTGGCCAGGCTGGTCTCGAACTCCTGGCCTCAAGTGATCCATCCACCTTGGCCTTCCAAATCGCAGATTATTTTTTAAGACAGAGTAGTTAGAATTCATCCATCAGTCCAGTCTCATATATAGATGCCTTTAAACATTCAATGACCATGTTATCTGGTGAGATAAGTCAGTATTGCAGCAACACTCTCAGAAAGTAGCTTGACCAATTTTTGGAGATTTTTTTGGGAAAAATTTTGTTTAACTTGCATAGACTCAGGCAGGGAATGTGGCATTATGGTCTACCCATAGAGGGAGATTTTGGCCTGTGGGTCTGGAAACGAGGCTCATCTACTTCACACCAGACTTAATCTAGGGCACCCTAGAACATTCCTGTCAGAATCCATATTCTTGCACTGAGAATATTTATTTCCTTGTGCTATGACTGGACACTGATTTGGTCATATGTGAAGTGTGATTTGCTTAATGTGACCTGCTTCTCTGAATTTATTTACAGAAAATCAAAGTGATCAAGAGGAAGAGGAAGAAGGGTCAGTGTCTCCCAGGTAACACTGTGGAATTGTGGGCTGTTACTTCAATAGTGACACTTGGAGACTGCAGATCCAGAGAAAACGAGGAAGTGATGAATAGAACTATTTCTTCCATTCACCCAGCTACAAATTGTCCTTATTAACACTGTTGGGGGCTATTCATGGCACTTGTGTTGGTTTTAATTTTGTAGTCCTCTCAAGATAGGGACCTGCAATCAGATGAGCCAGGTGAACTAACCAAACAGGGATTTCTTGGTGTTGCCTGTTCTCTCCTACGTGTTTAAATCCAGGGAGAGATGCATATATGCTTTCTGCCCATTTGTTGTTAGTATGTTTGCTAGTATCTGTGCAAGAGAAGAAATTCAGAAAATAAACATACATCAAAATATTGGGAAAAGGAAGCCCTTAATACACAGGCTGTATGTCTGCACTGCCTCAAGAGCTCTGTTCACTTGAATGATGCATGTAAAATTCAACATAATTTATGCAAAGTAGTTGAAGTCCTGTGTCAGTTCTCTGTGCTGCAAGTCATGATGGTAGTTTACAGGGAGAGTCTGGGTGCTCTGCAGTGGCTCATCTGTGGCAAATGCACTGAGCATGACCAGCACATTTTCGATCTCTCCCTAAGACAGTCACTTTCCACCCTGCATTTAGAAGGATAGCTTTTTTTCTCTTGAAGGACAAATGCCTTTGCTTTTTGTGATCACTTGATTCTGTTTCCCATTGGATCAGCTGAAAGGCTTTGTTGTCTAATCTCTGTTGGTTTAATCTTCTGTCATCTCTGTCCTGCCTGGCTCATCAGGAATCTGCAGGAGTCTGAAGAGGAGGAAGCTCTCCAGGAATCCTGGGATGAAGGTTATTCGACTCTCTCAATTCCTCCTGACATGTCTGCCTCGTACCAGTCTTACAAGAGCACCTTTCCCTCATTAGAGGAACAGCAAGTCGGCTTGGCTCTTGACATAGGCAGTGAGTACTCCATTGTGAAGGTAATAAAGCTCCAGTTCATGTCCCAAGTAGACCCCGTAATCTTGGGGCTTTCCGCCCCTGGTTGGGCTGAGAGTTGCCATCACTGTGGGCTGAACCTATATATCAGTGTAGATTTCAATCACTCTGGAGTTGAGTCTGAAGCACAGGCGTGGGGTGGGTCAGTGAGCTTTGCTCTTTTCCTAGTCTCAGGCCATGCCCATGGCACCCTTGACTGACTGTCAGGACATTGAACTCAAGGCAGGTGTGGCGAACTCACACCAAGCTCTGCAGCACATGCCCAGGAGTTGTCTGTCAGATCAGCTCATCTGAATTAAATGTCTCTTGCCAGCTACTAAGTTCCTTATGAGTTTTGTTCCCCAAGCATGTCTTTGCGGTTCTCTACCTGCCCAAGGCCAGTGTCACCCTTGTCTACCTCTCAGTGGAAGATGTGACCCAGGTTTCACTGAATTCATCCCCATTTTCTGTGTCTTCTAAGTTGGCTTTTTTTAGCTCATCTGTCCATCGTCTTGCTGGTATGTTTTCTACATAAACAGCCAACTTTTCACTCACAAAAGCCATAATAGCTGATGCTTCTGTGTAGAACCAAGACTAATTTTGACTCAAGAGCTGGTACATTGCACCCCTTCATCAAATCTCAGTGTCCACAATCTTGTAAACTATCAAATCCTGGGTATTTGATGAGAGAAAGCTTAATATTGAAGTATCTCTCCTACGAGGTGTTAGAAGTATTTGCCTAGAATCTATTGGGAAAGTCATTGCTCATTTGTGTACACAAACCTAGGACAGATCACATTGGGAAGATAACATTCCAAAACAGGGGAATTTTGCCCAAGGCTCATGAAAGGAACCAAGTCAGTTCTTTCAAGACTTGACCTCAGGCCTCCTGGTATATTTTTCTCAAAGTCTCCTGTTCTCACACTGAGAAGACTGATGTCCCTGTGTTAGGATTGGACAGAGGACTGTTTCTGTGTGCAAGGAGGAACTGCTTAATGTAAGAGGCCCCATCTGAATTTATTTGCAGGACATCAGTGTGATCAAGAGAAAAAGGAGGATTGAGAGGCAACATGTCCCAGGTGAGTCTGAGAAATTGTGGACAGTTAATTTGGTGTTGACACCTGGAGGCGCCAAGTCCAGGGAAAACCGAACATGCTGAAAATAATGATTTCATCTTGTCAACCAAGCCTGAATTACTCCTACTAATATTACTGTTGCTTTTCATTACAGTAAATGTTTAGGTTTCCATTTCTTCCTACCCTTATCATTTACTAACCTACTGAAGGTTGACCATACCTCAAAAGCTGTATTCTCACGGTGACTGCAGGGAAACTTGAGCACATTTTATGGAAAATTATTGAGCCCACTGTTTACATGATCACTGTTCACTGTGTGTCCTGAGGGCACTAACTCAGAGTGTCCTTTAACTCCCTCATCAATGTGTCACCTGGACAATTCACTAAGCTCTCTTTGTCTGTCTCTCTTTCTCTCTCTCTGTATTTCTCTTTCATCATTTACTACCCAGCCATGGTCTATTCCTACATAAAGGCAATAATTTGTTACCTCATTAATGGATCTATGTTTTTTCTTTTGTAACCACTTCCTTATGCTACCCACGAAATCTAGCTGGGGCTCTGCGGTGTCTGATTTTCCCTGGCTTACTCTTCAGTTTTTCCTACTTCTCCAGGCTCAGCAGGGAGCTGCTGGAAGGGGAAGAGCCTGAAGTCTTGCAGTACTCACTGGATAGATGTTATTCGACTCCTTCCAGTTATCTTGAACTGCTGAACTCCTACCAGCCCTACAGAAGTGCCTTTTACTCATTGGAGGAACAGCGTGTTGGCTTGGCTTTTGAGGTGGACAGTGAGGACCCTACAATGAAGGTGATAAGGATCCACCGAGTCTTCTGGATATGGGCCATATTCCTGCTGCAAGTGGCCCTTACTGAGCTGAGAGATGTCATTGCCACAGGGAGGACCTATAGGCACATGTAGGTTTGAATGAAACTCTAGTTCCACCTGGAAGCCCAAATATGGGATGGGTCAGTGAGCATGGCTGTCTTCGTAGTCGCAGGCCATGCCTGTGGCACTCTGATCCTACTCTCAAGACACTGGACCCAGGCAGATGTGACAAATTCACACAACTATGATTTTGACTCAATTTTGTAGATTTTGTAGATTTCCTCCTTTACTCTAATTTCAGTGTTTAAAATCTTTTCAATCATGAAAAAGCTGAGTTTTTTATAAAACAGGGCTGAATATTGCAGTTTTTCTCCTAGAAATCATTTGGGGGCATTTGTTTTAAATTGATTGGGAAAATACTGCGTCACCATTTGTACAAACTTGGGACAAATGATATTGGGATAGCAATCTACCAGAATAGGGACATTTTACCTGTAGTTTCTGGGACAAAAACCAAGGAATCTCCATTATGACCAGCCTTCAGTCCTCCTGAAGTATAGCTCTCACAGTGCCTTATTCTCATGGTGAGAAGACTGAGGTCCCTGTGTAAGGATAGACAGTGGATTGTTACATGTGTAGGGGAATTGGCTTAATGTGTCTGTCCATGTCTGAACTTATTGCAGAAATTGAAAAGTACCAAGAAAAGGAAGAAGACCAAAACCCACCATGCCCCAGGTAACTTTGAGCAATTATGGACGCTTAATTCTGTGTTGACACCTGGAGACGCCAGGTCCAGGGAAACCAGAGTGTGTTCAATTTCATCTTTTCAACCAAGCCTGAATTCCTCTTACTGACATTGCTGTTGGTTTTCATTGCAGTAGACCTTTTGGTTTCCATTTCTTCCTCCCCTTATCATTTACTAACCTACTGTAGGTGGACCATACTTCAAAAGCTCTATTCTCATGGTGACTACATGGAAACTTGAGCACATTTTTTGCAAAATTGTTGAGCCCACTCTTTTCATGATCACTGTTCGCTGTGTGTCATGCAGGCACTAACTCAGAGTGTCCTGTTACTCCCTCATCATGTGTCAACTGGTCAATTCACTGAGCTCGTTTTCTCTCTCTCTCTCAGTCTCTCTCTCTCTCTTTCTCTTTCATTCTTTCCTACCCAGCCATGGCCTATTCCAACATAAAGGCAATAATTTGTTACCTCATTAATGGATCTATCCTTTTTCTTTTTTAACCACTTCCTTATGCCCCATGTAATCTAGTTGGGGCTCTGTGGTTTCTGATTTTCCCTGGCTTACCTTTTAGTTTTTCCTACTTCTCCAGGCTCAGCAAGGAGCTGTTGGAAGTGCAAGAGCCTAAAGTCTTGCATGACTCAGTGGATAGATGTTATTCAACTCCTACCAGTTATCTTGAACTGTCTGATTCATGCCAGCCCTACAGAAGTGCCTTTTACTCATTGGAAAAACAGCATGTTGGCTTGGTTCTTGGCGGGAACAGTGAGTACCTCGACTCAAGGGTTTGTTGATTTTCTCACTCATTGTAATTTCAGTGTCTAAAATCCTCACCTTTGTGAATAAGCTAGGTACTTGATGAGACAGGGCTGAATACTGCAGTTTCCAGAAATTATTTTGGGTGTTTGCTTTGAATTGTTAGGGAAAATATTGCGTAACTGTTGGCACAAACTCAGGAGAGATGATACTGGGATAATGATCTACCAGAACAGGGGACATTTCACCCTTAGGTTCAGAGATGAAAACCAAGGAATCTGTATCACGTCTGGCCCTCAGGCCTCCTGGAGTATGTCTCTCACAGAGTTCTCTTCCCATGCTGAGAAGACAGATGTTCTCGCTTTAGGGTTGATGGTGGATTGTTGCATGAATAGAGGAATAGACTTAATGTGTCTGTCCCTGTCCACTTTGTTGCAGACATTGAAAAAAATCAAGAAGAAGAAGAAGACCAAGACCCACCATGCCCCAGGTAACTTTGAGCAATTGCAGACATTTAATTTATTGTTGATACCTGGAGATGCCAGATACAGGGAAAACGGAACATACCTATCCATTCATTCAGCCAACCATGAAATCGCCATATTAGTCATGTTAAGATTATCAGTGTGGGATAATTATTAAACAGGATTATTAGTTAATATTAATATTATTGGTACAATATTAATAAAGTTGCCTCTTTTCATTTTACACCTGTATTTGTATTTGTTTCTCTTGTTAATTCCTTCAAAATTGTACTAATCTTTATTCAGTTGACTTTGTTGAACTGATCAATCACATTTTCTGCAGTTTCCCTTTCTGCCTTTTTGGCTTAAAGTGAACTCGAGATGCTCATCTGATGTCTGCCTCTTTGCCATTATATTTGCAAATATCTGAGAGCAGGAATGTGAATACAAATAATTCATATCATGCCAAAATTTTGAGAACAAGAGATGTTGAGTAACTCTGTCAGTCTACAAAGACACAGGGGCCTGTTGCGTGTGCCATGTCATAGCTCTTTGGTACAGGAATCGTTCCGTCTCCTTCCTTTCCAGCTCACTGTCTACCCAGGACACTGAGCACCTGCTGTTCTCTCTCCTGCTGGAGACAGAGAAGGATCATTCTCTGCTTGAGGGGACTGTTTTTTGCTTCCTCTGGCATCTCCTGTCAGACTCTCTGTAGAGCCAGTTGGACACTGGTTTCTGTTCCCTCTGGTGTTTATCTTCTGTGTTCTTCACCCACCAGGCTGAGCCCGGAGCTGCCAGAGGTGGAGGAGCAGGGCGCCCCGCAGGACTGTCTGGATGAAGTTTACTTGACTCCTTCACTTCCCCCTGACCTGTCTGACTGCCAGCAGCCTTACAGCAGCACGTGTGCTCATTGGAGGATCAGCTCGCCTGCTCTGCTCTGGATGTAGCCTGTGAGTACTCCAGCCTGAAGGTCACAAAGCTCCACTGTTCTCCCAGGCAGCCTCTATATATTCTGTTTCCTGTAACTTGTGCAGGTGAGATGGATCATCTCTGCAGGCAGGCCCTGTAAATTCAGAGTGTTTTGAATCTGGTTCTTGGATCCAGTTTTAAGCTCAGACATTCAATGGGTAGAACCCCCTTCTCTTGTGCCAGGTGATTCCTCTGTCACTTGACTCCTTCTCACAAGAGCAGGCTGTAGGTATCAAAACAGGTCAGAGAGGGGAATGATGAGGGATCACTGCACACTCTTGGCCGCAACAGCTCACCTGGAGAATTTTGTATAACAGACTTCATTCCTTAAGATACGGCATCTTTCTTTTCAGACATTATGTTGAACAGTGCCCTTCTCATCACATATCCTGAACAGCGCCCTTCTCTCTTCTCTGGCCATCCACCTGTGCCAGCAATTTTCCCCCATTATTTTGGAGGGCTGTTTCATGATTCCTGTGTTTCAAGCCAGATTCTCTACTACATCCTCTGAGGTGGTTTCCCTCCACTGAAGCAGTTAGCATCCCTTCCTCCGTGCATGGCCATGGCTTGCATCCTCTGTAGAGCCCCGGTGGTTTCTTTTACGTGTGGGTTTGTGGTTTCAGTCATGTGTCGTCTCAGTGCTATGTTCTCATGTAAACCATCAACAACTAGTGTCCCTGATCAGGTGCTGGCCTAACTGATGAGCAAAGCGCAGTGGTTCTCATGCCCATGATCTCCAGCAAACCCTTCCTGTGAGCAAGTGCCCCCTGAGGTTGCAGTTTCATAGGGTGTGTAAGGAAAAAAAAACAATTTTCTTCTCACTCATTCTGGTTTTTATACCATTATTCTGGGAATTTCATGTGGATTGTTAGTAGTTTTACCCATCAAAACTCTTGTAGGAAGAGCAAGTAACTCTGTGATGTCCCCTATCTGAATATGTTGTAATGAGAGTAGTGACTGAAACTTTTGTCTTCCATTCTATTTTGGTCAGTAAGCACCTTTCCTGCTGGAACCATCCTCTTTCCTGTGTTTCATTTCTCCTTCAGTTTCAAAGAAGTAAAGGCTTTTGTAGGATCACAGCAATTCATAAAACGAAGTAAAATACACATCGCCCTTCCACCTGTTGTACACCTTGCCCTTGGCCAAGCAAGCTCTTTCCTTGCTATAATCCATACAGTGCTCAAGGGGCACTCCTAGTGGGCAGTGGCATCTCCACGTTAGAGCTGAGGATGCTGAGGCTCAGCAAGGTCCCTTTGCTTGCCCAGGATGCCCTGACCAGTCACAGTGAGAACATGGGCCCCATGTCTGCCTGACTCCATGGTGCGGTTGCTCTCATTTCTCTGCAGTGGGATCTCTCAGAGACTGGCTAGGATGGGTGCTCAAGATTTTTCCCTTTGTAGCAAATTTGTTGGAAATGATTTCAAGCTGAAACAGAAAATTTGCTGGTCTGGTACAAAGAACTCCTATATTCCCTGACACATGTAACCCAGTGATAAACACCTTGGTGCACTTTGTGAGCAGAACCAGTGGTTCCTCCAGTCCCCCCAGGGGGACCTACAACTCCAGAGGGTGCTTACTGGAAAATTTCTCAAGGGGTGAAAGGTGTTGGTCTGTTCCTACCTTGTATCACTTGGGTTTCTGCTCTCAACATGGCAGTGTTGGAGCCCTTGTAAAGTTACTGGGCTTTGTCTCGGGAACACCCCAGTTAGGACCAGGCTGCCAGGATGAGGAAGGGAAATGCTCAGACACGTGTCTCAGAAGTGAGACGCCTGTGATATGGGCCGGCTCTGCCAGGGCATCATGAAACATAGGCCAGGAGAGGCCACATTCATCCATGCAGACAGGCTGAGATGCATGAATGCACTGTCTCAATTATACCAGGAGGCATCTGTGTGTGGGTTCCGATGATAACCTGTGAAGAGTCTGTACTGTGCACAGCTGTGACCCCAGCAGTGGTGCCAGAATTGATGTGCTCCACCCATGCTCTCGCTTCAGGGAAAGTCACAGTAGAATCAGCGAGAATACAACCTAAATCATAACTTGATCTCTTATTAGGACTTTTCCCCACCTGCTCAGCTAATAATATGTACAGTGTTTCAGAAGTTTGAGATGTTTTTTGTTTTCTTCTGAAAATGCAAAGACTATTAAAAGTATAAGCTTAAGAAGACTTAGTATTCTGAGAAAGAGAGATAAAAGGACCTAACAAAATTAAGTGTTTAGAATTAAAAATATTTTTAGACATTGATTCTAAATCACACATGCAGAGGACAAGAATGGGAAGCCTGGGTTTGACCAGCCTTCCCCAACCAGATTTGTCCTTTTGAGATGTTTCCCCATCTGCCCAATATGAACTACCAGGAAGTCGCATTGAGTGTCCTAAGTGATGGTTAATGATCAGTAAACTGTGCCCTGAGCAACTAAGGAGGCCACATGAGGTGGAGCGAAGGGCTCAGGGACAAAGACCTAGAAGCTGGAAAGCACTCCATGCAGGGCTGCGCCAGGGAGGAGCCAGCCTGACTCCAGGGAAGAGTCTGTATGAGGGAGGGATGGGAGGTGATGCTGGATAGGAACATGGGGCAGAAGTTAGAAGGAGCACAAAGGCAGGGTGAGTGGGGAGAGTCATGCAGTGGGCAGCAGAGAGAGAGTTTTTAGAAGCACAGTAGGAATGTGGAAAGAACAGGACTTCTTGGCAATAAAATTGCAGAGATAATTGCTAGTGTGGAGATGGCAGAATCAGAGATAGCAGTTGGGGGTGTGTATGAAGCCAGGCATCAGTGATGAGTCTGTGCTCTCAGGAAGATGAAGGAGTACAGATACACGGAAGGCATTTTTAATAAAACTTAGAGAAATCTTGATGAGAATGAGGATGTGCAGAGGGGAGGAGAGAGAGGAGCCCTGCAGCAACGTGGATCAAGCCCTGCAGGCCCCGTCCTTCTTCTGAGGCAGATCTGGACTGGCCTGAGGCCACCGGAAGTCTTTCCTTAGTCCACTTTCTGAGAGTGTGATTTCCTCTTCCTGTGGAAATAGCGATAATTTTTATGAGGGGTGCTGCCCGGACCCCACTGGAGGAGCGGGTAAGATGAGGACTGTGCTTGGTGTTATCTCCCTACAGAACCACACACGCTGATCGGTAATACCTGTGGCCCCTAAGTGTCCGTGAGGGGACTGGTCCCTCTACAACATTGCTTATGGCTGCGGACACCCACTATATGGCAACAAGATGTGTATGTATGGGTAGGTGGCAAAACCATTATAGGCAACGGAAATTCAAAATGTTCTAGAACCCTAAAATGTTCAACTCATGTAGTATTTGGTCTATTGCAGGGGGCCCCAAGCCCCTGGGGCTGTGGTCAGCTACCTGTCCTGGGCCTGTTAGGTACCAGGCCGCACAGCAGGATATAAGCAGCCGGCAAGCGAGCATTCCAGCCTGAGCCCCGCCCCCTGTCAGATCAGCGGTGGCATTAGATTCTCATAGAAGCACAAACCCTATTGTTAACTGTGCATGAAAGGGATCTAGATTGTGCGCTCCTTGTGAGAATTTTTTTTTTTTTTTTTTTTTTAGACGGAGTGTCGCTCTGTTGCCCAGGCTGGAGTGCAGTGGCCGGATCTCAGCTCACTGCAAGCTCCGCCTCCCGGGTTCCCGCTATTCTCCTGCCTCAGCCTCCCG